TAAAACAACACTTACATGATAGTATTTGATATAGTAGTAAAACAACACTTACATGATAGTATTTGATATAGTAGTAAAACAACACTTACATTATAATGTTTGATATAGTAGTAAAACAACACTTACATTATAATGTTTGATATAGTAGTAAAACAACACTTACACTATAATGTTTGATATAGTAGTAAAACAACACTTACATTATAATGTTTGATATAGTAATAAAACAACACTTACATTATAATGTTTGATATAGTAGTAAACACAGTAGTGTTTAATATACTAGAAAAGTAACAAACACGGTACATGGACTCTAACCAGAATATTATAGAAGTCAACATTTCTGAGAAACGTTCATTACTAAGTCGAAACTTACCAATACGTATTTTTCACTAACAGGAAACATAATTTGAACATTCAGTATTCAATATGAGAAAAAATGTCTCCTTTCATTTCATTAATCTTTTAAAGAAATTTACAAGATAGTGTATCACGTTTTGGTTTCTTTTTTCGATAAGATAATCCAAATTATACAAACAAAAAACCTGTGACGATATTATCCGGTCATGAAATATGCAGCAACTTTTTTTTTCGGAATATTCTAATACATATGTAGATTCGTGAGTTCCTTTTCAAAAGCCTATTTTTCTACATGAATTTTAAGACAAGTTAAATATTAGTATGTATTGTGTGGATTGATATGCAACGAGGGTTGTTGGAGCTCACAGCATTAAACGAAATATAAAAGGCGTATAATATTTAGATATATGTTGTTCATGCATTATTTATAACTTCAACTACGACCGGAAAAAGATATACTGGTAGACATTACTCCAGGATATAAAGGAAAATAGAATAATACTTCTAAGCCTAGTTCTTATATTTAAATATGTGTACATTGTGGAAAATAGAATAATACTTCTAAGCCTAGTTCTTATATTTAAATATGTGTACATTGTGGAAAATAGGGTTATAATTCTAAGCCTAGTTCTTATATTTAAATATGTGTACATTGTGGAAAATAGGGTTATACTTCTAAGCCTAGTTCTCATATTTAAATATGTGTACATTGTGGAAAATAGAGTTATACTTCTAAGCCTAGTTCTTATATTTAAATATGTGTATATTGTTTAGTAAAGAAGTGATACACGTGTTTATGGTTTGATTTTATTCGTAGGTTTATATATAAGGTCACCATCTGTACATGTTTAATGTCATTCATACATTATTAATGCATATATCTATAAATCTATATGGTTCAGTTTTCTACCTGTATAATTTATATGAATATGGTTTCTATTTTCACATTCAAACTTACATATACATACCGTTTAGTACGGTCACCATGATATTGACCTAATCATTACTGTGTCTTTCAGTTCTCATTTGATATGCAATATCAATTAAATGCGTTGGTTCTCCCTACATTTCTGAAGTGTGACGTACCAAATAAACTTATTGTAATAGTATTATTGTATCTAGGAGAAAATGATCCCTCTAAAGTTCCGGAGTGTCACGTGCCAAAGGCGGAGTTTATTCTAGTCCATTGTAAGAATACTTAAAAAAAAACAACACACGATACAAAAATATAAAAACTGTTTTTATTTATAAATCAACATGTCCCTATTTTGCGAAGGAATGTACGAGTTCTAACACCTAATGGCTGTCGATTCATACATTCCTGGAGAATATCCGAATTCCTCAAGCATTGCACGACAAGTCCTAATTAGGTATAACATTCCTAAGCCTAATGAGAACCAAACCAAACTTTGAGTAAACAGTAATTGAGAGTTTGAGATAGTTTAATAACTGAATATATGAAGTCCATATTAAACTTGCAACATTCCACCTAAAGTTGTAATCTTAATTTACTGAATGTTTTCCGGGTTTGTTTGTTTTTATTTTCTCACCTCCACGTTATTTTGCGTCGCCATGTTTCTTTTATTATCTAAACTTGTCCATTTTTTTGTGCGTTAAGTCATTCTTTAATTGACTGTCCATTATTTTGTCGTTCGGTTTTCTATAATTTTCTAAACCTGTTCATTATTTTGTGTCGTTAAGTGATTCTGTAACTATCTAAACCTGTTAATATGTAGACGGCTCAACTGTGTGTCTAATTATAAACCACACTAGTTTCTGTTAATATGTAGACGCTCGATTGTGTGTCTAATTATAAACCACACTAGTTTCTCGTTAATATGTAGACGGCTTAACTGTGTGTCTAATTATAAACCACACTAGTTTCTCGTTAATATGTAGACAGCTCGACTGTGTGTCTAATTATAAACCACACTAGTTTCTCGTTAATATGTAGACGGCTCAACTGTGTGTCTAATTATAAACCACACTAGTTTCTCGTTAATATGTAGACGGCTCAACTGTGTGTCTAATTATAAACCACACTAGTTTCTCGTTAATATGTAGACAGCTCAACTGTGTGTCCAATTATAAACCACACTAGTTTCTCGTTAAAATGTAGACAGCTCAACTTTGTGTCTAATTATAAACCACACTAGTTTCTCGTTAATATGTAGACGGCTTGACTGTGTGTCTAATTATAAACCACACTAGTTTCTCGTTAATATGTAGACGGCTCAACTGTATGTCTGATTATAAACCACACTAGTTTCTCGTTAAATATGTAGACAGCTCAACTGTGTGTCTAATTATAAACCACACTAGTTTCTCGTTAATATGTAGACAGCTCAACTGTATGTCTGATTATAAACCACACTAGTTTCTCGTTAAAATGTAGACGGCTCGATAGTTTGTCTAATTATAAACCACACTAGTTTCTCGTTAATATGTAGACAGCTCAACTGTGTGTCCAATTATAAACCACACTAGTTTCTCGTTAAAATGTAGACAGCTCAACTGTGTGTCTAATTATAAACCACACTAGTTTCTCGTTAATATGTAGACGGCTCAACTGTGTGTCTAATTATAAACCACACTAGTTTCTCGTTAATATGTAGACGGCTCGACTGTGTGTCTAATTATAAACTACACTAGTTTCTCGTTAATATGTAGACGGCTCGACTGTGTGTCTAATTATAAACCACAGTAGGATTCTATGATTAATAATGTTAGTTTTGCACTGATAGGATTCTATTATTAATAATATTAGTTTTGCACTGATAGGATTCTATTATTAATAGTTTTAGTTTGCACTGATAGGATTCTGTTATTAATAGTGTTAGTTTGCACTGATAGGATTCTAGGATTCTATGATCAAGTTACACACAAAGATGTTTTGTAACTTGTACTTATATTCCAGTTTGAACCAAAGCGAATTTTAACGGCTTATAATACCGTTATCTGGACTTAGTTATTATATTTTTCTTTCTTTTGTCAGGACCGTCACTGCCAGGATTTTGAAAACGACACACATGATGGTGGATTAGCGAAGCTACGTGCTGGTGATAACAAAATGAATAGACACCACACAGCAAGACTGCTAGAACCGCAGTCTGTCCTTTGTATAGAAGGCCTATCACCGGAACGCCTCTCAGAAGTCCGCGTTGTTGTAAGTTTTGTAATATTAGGAACAATTAACCTAACAGTGATCGGTGGTAATCTGCTTGTCATTCTGTCAGTTTTCGTCTCAGCAAAGCTTCGAACAGTCACGAACTTTTTTATTGTATCGCTAGCAGTGGCTGACCTGCTAGTAGGGATCACAGTTCTCCCCTATTCGATGACGCTAGAGGTCTTGGACGTGTGGATCTTCGGAAACACTTGGTGCCAAATTTGGTTGGCTGTGGATGTCTGGCTGTGTACTTCCTCCATCCTCCACTTGTGTGCTATCAGCGTGGATAGATATTTAGCCATTACCAGACCGGTTCACTACCGAAGCATCATGTCGTCGCGACGAGCAAAGCTACTCATTGCTGCCGTCTGGGTGGTTGCATTTGTCATCTGTTTCCCTCCTCTTGTTGGCTGGAACGACAGCACGAGCGGCACGAGCATTACGTTTCCAGAATTCACAAATGAGTCGTTTTCAGCAAACTACAGTGCCATTACTCAGGGCGTCGCAACCAGTCGATCAACTATCGACCTCGACCAATCCGTCGGGCCGAATGACCTCGACCAGTCCGTCGGGCCGAACAAATCTGGTACAAAGTTGGAAAGTTGGTTAAGTGGGAATGCTGTGGAGAACACGGTATCGCCAGTTAACTCGACTACGCCGTGTATTACACAAAGCTGCTCTTTAATAAACAACAAAGGCTACGTCATCTATTCCGCGTTTGGTTCTTTTTACATTCCAATGTTGGTCATGCTATTTTTCTATTGGAGAATATACGCCGCTGCGTTGAAAACTGGGCGAGCTTTGGAAAGGGGATTTAAAACTACAAAATCAAACAAAGGTAAAAACGCGAAGGGCGAAGAGCAGCGACTGACCCTGCGTATCCACAGAGGTCATGCTACGACGGAAATAGCCAGTCATGAAAACAAAGGTCAAGAAAGAAGGCCGTACAAGAGGTATAACACGTTATCATTTCATGGTAAGCCGACTCGGAAGTTGCAAAGTAGGACAGATTTCGATGGAAAAACAGTTTCAACGTCATTGACGTTCGATGCTGAGCTCAAATCTCGTCATAATAAGCATTACAATCAAGACGATAATCCTTCAACTTCAAGTTATCAAGGAAGAGAAAACATGGGAGTCAGAAGAAGAAAAATGTACTTTTCACGCATGAGCAGAAGAAATATTAGGTGGCACGCGAGACGTTTTAGGTCAGAGGCCAAGGCCACAAAGACAGTTGGAGTTATTGTGGGCGGTTTTATAATCTGCTGGCTTCCGTTTTTTACAGTATACCTGGTAGGAGCTTTCTGTGACCACTGTATCTCTCAACTTGTATTCTCTGTTTTCTTCTGGTTAGGATATTGTAATTCTGCCATCAATCCCTTCATTTACGCTCTCTTCAGCAAAGATTTTAGATATGCTTTTAAAAGACTCTTATGTCGATGTCTGGTAAAAAAAGAAGGGATTTCATCTCTCATCCGCCAAATTCATTTGTCGACGTTTCTGGATGAGAACACAGAGTCTGGGTGAAACCGAATACTTACTTATCCACCAACTTCATCTGTTGACATTTCTGGTAAGAAGAGGGTCTGCGTGAAACCGAATATCACGTATCCTACAAATTTATCTGTTGACGTTTCTGAAAGAGAACAAAAGGTCTGAGTGAAACAGAGTCATCAGTTATCACGTATCCTACAAATTTATCTGTTGACGTTTCTGAAAGAGAACAAAAGGTCTGAGTGAAACAGAGTCATCGATTATCACCCTACTTCATCTGTTGACGTTTCTGAAAGAGAACAAAAAGTCTGAGTGAAACAGAGTCATCAGTTATCACCCTACTTCATCTGTTGAAGTTTCCAGAAGAGAACATAGAGTTTGGATGAAACCGAGTTATCACTTATCTGCCAAATCCATCTTATACCTTACGGAGTGATAATGAAGATCCCATTTTTTGGATTTCTGGAGAGGATTTTTGATAAAACTTTTTCGCCTGTAAACCACTAAGTTCTTATATAAATAATATCGTGTGTTCTCTGTGTGAAATCTGATCATTTCCTGTCAATCGGTATTTTCTGTTACAGTTTCTGTGAAAAGAAATTCGGATTATAGATGAGATCCATTGATTCTTTTCTCAGCAAAGTCCGTCTATCAAGGTTTCATAAACAGAGCACAGACTCTGGCTAAAATGGACAAGGATGGAACTCCCGTTTTCCTGAAATATTTATTACACACCGCTAAAATGAACCTTAAAGACAAACAAACATTGTAAATGAAGTTCAAAGAAATAGGTTAAAATGAAGTTAGGTATGGCTGAATGAATCATAATTAAAAAACAAAACAAAAAACGTTACAAATATAAATGTGTTGAAGTATGTCTAATTCCTGTGCTCAAAGTTCGTGTATATTTGGTATACTCTATAAAGATATAAATAATATTTCCTAATTCGTCCGTTCGTCTCTAACACAGTTTGTGTTAACCGAAATATTTTGTTACAGGAAGCGTGAATGTTTTTTCTCTCAACTAAATATTATATTTTTGTTACCTCGTACAGGGTAATATTATATTTTTTGTTACCTCGTACAGGGTAATATTATATTTTTTGTTACGTCATACAGGGTAATATTATATTTTTTGTTACCTCATACAGGGTAATATTATATTTCGTTTTATATTTATTGTTATTTCAATAAAAATCAATTTGTTTTTATTTTATCTGTTCGTTCCCATTTTTAGGTTTAAGACAATTCCAAAGGAGCGTTTGGTAGCCACCTGCTGGCTAAACAGTAAGTCGGAGGGCTTATAATGTTAAAATCGATGGGCACGGTACAAGTAGTATATTAGGTAACCAGGTACTTAATGACAAACAGAGAAACAAAATGCTTTAAGGTAAGTTCTGATGAAATATACTAACGAAAACTCAAACACATTCAATCTACGTCTTTCGCATACCTGTGTTTTAATTCTCTGTGACTTCAGCCGTAATAAACTATTTCTTTATGTATTTTATTTTTAAATTGTATCTAATGTTTGAAATCATTTTGACAAATCAAATGTTCGGGAACAGAACAAAAACTTAATTCTTTAAACAACATTCACGGTTCGTTGTCAACTTAATTAACAAGTTTCCATGCTTCATTACGGATACTTATTGTTTAACCTGTATTACGGATACTTATAGTTTAGCCTTCATTACGGATACTTATAGTTTAACCTGTATTACGGATACTTATAATTTAACCTGCATTATGGATACTGTTAGTTTAACCTGCATTACGGATACTTATAGTTTAACAACCTGTGTTACGGATACTTATAGTTTAACCTGTATTTCGGATACTTATAGTTTAATCTGTATTACGGATACTTATAGTTTAACCTGTATTACGGATACTGTTAGTTTAACCTGTATTACGGATACTTATAGTTTAACAACCTGTGTTACGGATACTTATAGTTTAACCTGTATTACGGATACTTATAGTTTAACCTGTATTACGGACACTTATAGTTTAACCTGTATTACGGATACTGTTAGTTTAACCTGTATTACGGATACTTATAGTTTAACAACCTGTATTACGGATACTTATAGTTTAACCTGTATTACGGATACTTATAGTTTAACAACCTGTATTACGGATACTTATACTTTAGCAACCTGTATTACGGATACTTATAGTTTAACCTGTATTATGGATACTTATAGTTTAACCTGTATTATGGATACTTATAGTTTAACCTGCATTACGGATACTGTTAGTTTAACCTGCATTATGGATACTGTTAGTTTAACCTGCATTACGGATACTTATAGTTTAACCTGCATTACGGATACTTATAGTTTAACCTGCATTACAGATACTGTAGACATGAATAAAAACTAGTGTGCAGTATATCAATGCAATGTTCAACATAAACACATTTGTTTTGGCTGGCATAACAGTTTTTATATTGCTAGTTAAATTAGAGAACAGGTCAACGAAAATTAATTTTGTTTGTGTATTTTCTCAGTGAAATATGCTTAAACATTGAAATATTTGAATAAAAAACACATAAGTTAGGCCTATAACAAGGTGACTTGAAACTGGTACCACAATGATAAGGCATGGTCTTTAACATGAAGGTTTGAAACCTGTATTGCAATGAGAAGACAAGGTTTGTAGAGGTCATACTTAGATATATAAAAAATTACAATTTCTGTACATACAGTCTCTGTATTCTTTAATGTATAATGTTGTTCAATGGAGCCACTAAGATATTTTAGCCCTAGTTACTTACTTGACTGGGCCACTCAACGAGGGTGTCACATTCACTTTCTCGTGGGGAAAGGTTCCTGTAAAGTGGAGCATATTGTGTAGAAATTCAGTGGTCTTTCAACTAGCAAATCAGGCGGTACCTCAATATTACAACTTCCTTTATTTCGTTGTGAGGAACCAGCAGTCACGAGGGTAGTACCTGTACTATGAGAAGAATGACATCGTTGCCTTTCGTTGTTTAAAACCCATTCAAAGTTAACAGGCATTTCTGTTATTCAATAATTTCTAACTGATTGCTCTGAGAAAAGTCAATTCACTTGAATACCACAAAATAGGTAGGAAGGATAAAATTTGTTGATATTTGGTTTTCCAGGGTTATTTTGCTGTGCTCTTCTGAACTCTTGTGTAAGAAAGATTTGTTGTAAAGGTCTATGACTTCTTCTTCACTGTGACTGTGGGTTCAGAAGAAGAACTACCTGAATCTGATGTACCCAGAATGAACAATTGGGCTCTCTCCCTGGGGTTTAACCTCAGTGTACAGAAGATATAGATGACTGTGAATTTTCACAGTAATGTGCAATCTGGCAACTCTGAAACTAAACAGAGTGGTATCTACAAGACTCACATGTATTCACCAATTAGAATAATTCAATCACAGCCTTAGGACATACCAACCATAACCAGCCACGAGAGACTTCTGAAAGTGCAGCTGGTATATTATGTCTGTCAGATGGAACTGTTTTAACAGCAGGTAGGACAGTTGACACAAGCTGGTTATTCATTGGGCAGTGATATACTGTCAGAGTGACCATGGGTGACAGAGAAGAGTGGGGTCAAATAGAACTCATGGAAGAGCTTCCTCTAATATTTCACTATTCCACAACAAGAGGGCAAGGATCTAACGTTCATTTGAGTGTCCCTGTACATATCCACTGCTGACATTTTTGGATGTCCTATCCTGATTTTGGCTCAGAGTCAGTGGTTCACACCAAACTAAGGACACCTGACAATTAAGGGTGTGGCAGAAGAATGATTTTGGAGCCTCATTACTGTGTATCTACCTAAAAGGTGTAATCATGGCTTTAGAATGATTTTGGAGCCTCATTACTGTGTATCTACCTAAAAGGTGTAATCATGGCTTTGAAATATATTTATAGCCAAACTCTTCTGTTGGTTCAACCCAGTGGATGACTGAGCTGTCCATCAGTCTGAATTCAAGGCTCAAAAGAGGCAGAATTCTCAGAGAACTTACCTGTATATGCGGATGACCTGTGTCAGTTTCATAAGAAGACACCCTGCAATGGTGTCAGTAGAAAGGTTCAAAGTGGTGTTATTGAATATATCACGAGAGAGTAAAAAGCCTGTAAGCAGATGTGCTTTGGACATACCACCCTGCACAAATGAGTGTTTCATGCCAAGCTTTTCTAAGAGTAAATCACCAAGCATCCAACAAATCCTAGAACTATGACATTGATTCCCAGTGAGTGAACAGAACTCTACTTGTCTTTCCATGATTTTTGTGCCATAACTAATTTTCATGATCCTCTATTCAGAATTCACTCCAGAAAGGCATCTTTATTGGGTGTGGGCAGAAGAGTGTACTATAAAGTGAAATGGCCATACATTGTCATGCAGAAAGTATCCAGAGACTATTGTGGCCACTGACTCGAGAGAAAGCATGAGATTGCTTTTACAAAGTGGTTTGGTGGTCAACCAAAATCTCGTGTCTACGTGGTGTCTGTGAAGATACAAATAGAAAGGGGTCGATTGGAAAGGGTCTGATGGTTAAACACTATACTTAGCATTTGGATTCTGAGAATTCAAGCTGGAGTTAAAACTGCTTTCAGCATTTTATGTCATGCCACTTGACCCGCTTAAACACCCGCCAATGTCCATGGAGCTTGCAAAGTTTTAATACCAACTTAACCGACTTGGACAAACACCCGCCAATGTCCATGGAGCTTGCAAAGTTTTAATACCAACTTAACTGACTTGGACAAACACCCGCCAATGTCCATGGAGCTTGCAAAGTTTTAATACCAACTTAACTGACTTGGACAAACACCCGCCAATGTCCATGGAGCTTGCAAAGTTTTAATACCAACTTAACCGACTTGGACAAACACCCGTCATACGTTGTGATAGCATACAGCACAACAAAACAGTAGTTTTCCAAACATGCTCATGTTTGTTTGAGAAATCATGTTTCCTGTGCATGTGATATATGGTCCATTCTTATAGCACATGTTCTGCAGTATATGTAAGATATTTGTGTGTTAATTTGTTTTACTTTCGGTTGTGTTTGTGTGCTTCAAACCCAGTCGAGATTAACAGGTTTCCGAATCACTCCATTATGCATTTTCACTCAAGACCTGTTATCCTGTCGCTCCTGCGCGATTACTACAATGGAAATCAATGTATCTGAGAGTACCACATGTTAAAATGATTTTGGAGCCTCATTACTGTGTATCTACCTAAATGTGGCCATGGTCTATCTAACGACTGTGGTCTTGATAATAACCTTGTAGTGTATTGTCTATATCAAAAGGTTCCCTTGTCAGATCATCATGACCAAAGCACATCATTCCTCCTTGCTGTCTTTGCATAATCCATCTATTGTACAAGGATGGTGTTTTCCAATCATCCTTTCAACAGTCACGAAATCTATAGGCTCCGTGTCTGGCGACTTTACTGGCGTGTCTTTGAATTTAATAACATAGATATACATTTCATTTTCCAGCTGCTTGGGGAATGCGAGTGTGCACGTGACCTGTTTTTCTTTCTAGATGGAGATCCTTCTTGAATATGTTGAATACTGATGCTCGAGACATGTGGTTGGCTTTTGCCACTGACCGTTAGGTGAGTGGATTCTTATCTGTCTAAAACATGGCGGTTGAAACCAATATTGCAACCGATATGTAACAGGTAAGGAAGTCTATAACGAAATTGTAACGGAAGGGTCAAGTCCATACGAGGATTGTTTCCAACTCTAACTGCAACCAAACCAGCAAGATTTATTTTTCTTTGTTTTTGTCTTTTGATTACAAATATATAAGGAAAATTACCTTTTTTGCAGTACACACTTAAATGTTATAGCTGTAGTAGTTGTGTCAAAATGACTGTACATAGTTTAATGTAACGGTCCAGTCTTTCGTAGTAATATTAAGCCTAAATATAATTTAGAGTCAAGCTGACGCGAGTATGTGTAATTGATCTTCGTAACAAGACATTTAATGTTAAAGCTAGAGAAGCTACGTCACACAGGCTAATTAAATGATCTGGTCATTCATAGAAA